ACTGAGCCACCCAGGCGCCCCGAATTCCTCTCTTCTCTCTTCTAGAGGTCCCTAAGAGATCCTGAGTTTCTTGGGCCTGCCGGGAATTGACCTTCCTTACCCCCCTGATAAGACTGAGAACCCTGAAAGCCAGATACCAATTGGGTTTTTTTTGAAGGGGCTTTATTGGCTCTATAAAGTCAATCTTAGTTGCTTAAAGTTGTCTGGTCATATTTGATATTATACCCATCCTTCTCAAATGTGACATTCCAGTCAAAACTTAGGCAGTATAGCCAGTGTTTCCAATTGTGTCTTGTTACAGGGAGAACAGATTCATATTGAACTTATACAAATAACTACATTGCCATGAAACTAAACATACTAAGGGTTTCTGAATTCTGGAGGAATTAGGTAAGGAGAAAAAGATAAATGTTTCAATTCTGTTTACAAAGGTACCGTTTACCAAATTGTTGTAAGTTAAAGAAAGCTTAAGAGAAAAGGCTTTCTTAAATCTTTAATTAAAAACAAATTTTTAAAAAAAGATTTTAGGTATTTATTTGACACAGAGAGAGCAGGAGCAGGGGCGGGGAAGAGGAAGAAGCAGGCTCCCGGTTGAGCGGGGAGCCTGACTTGGGGCTCTATCCCAGGACCCCGAGATCACGACCTGAGCTGAAGGCAGATGCTTAACCGACTGAGCCACCCAGGCGCCCCTTCCTTAAATCTTTTAATTAGCAATAATCACACCTCGGGTAAACCTCATTGGCTACGATACTGCCACTGCGCAAAGCTTCCTTAAATCTTTTAAACAAAATGTTAAAGAACCAGCAGTGTTTCAAACAAAAACTCAGAAATTATAATCATCCTCATCAGTTTATTCAGTCCCATTTAATTCTTGTTTTGCTTGATCTTGGGTTAGTAGTTTTATGAATCCTTCAGTTTTTTCTATGGAATTCTGAAAATTCTTACCCAATTCAATGGTATGATCTTAAAGTTGTCAGAAAGCTGTTTTCTAGAGTACTTGTCAGGATTATTTCCATGAATCTTTTTGAAGACAAGCATTTTTGGATCATAGCAGCTTGGAAAAGCTTTCATGAAAGCATCAGCATAAAATAATAACTATCTGTAAATGACAAAAGACTTAAAATGGCCATGTTTAAAGATCTGATGAGAATTCATTTCTAATGCAGTTGACAAGGATATATGGTTATTTCTGTGACACATACTTTAAGATGATAACTGGAATTATGACTGATGACATAATATGACATTATACCAGGCTATATCAGATTTTAAGAAATTTTATACAATTTCTGGAACACATATTAATAACATCCATCCATACAAATATAACCTAAGAAGGTTAAACATCACTTCTTATTTAGAAGGCTATAATCTGACATATCAAATAAACCTCATTAGTTTGACATCTCCTTTTTTATAAGGAGAGAGAACAAATCTTTTGAGATGTTTCAGGGACCCTGTGGAACAAATCAAAGTTCCAGGTCCAAAAGACTTCATTTAGGATTTGATTTTGGGGAATTTTGCCAAACATATTAAAAGGGTTTAAAACACATAATTAAATAGGATCATAGGTCCTGTGAAACAATCCCTTTAACTAAGGTGACAAAAACATTGAAGGCAAATACTGAAAGTTACATAGTTATATATATATATAATATATATTATATAAATACCAGCTTCCAATTAGACTAACTTGACCATAGAGTTCCTATATATATATAGTTATATAT